ATTAGGGAACATAATACTCTATTGACACCCATCCCCAGTTTGCTACAATTTAACTAACCAATTAGCACTTCGAACTCACGGATGATGAAAGAAAGCACGCTATGGAGGTAGAATTTGACTTACCAGGCTCTTGATGCCTTAAGTGAGATGGAACCTTTTGTACAGGGGAAAGGTTACCGAGCAGCGGCAACCATGAGAAGAGGAAAATAGATACGGAAGGGTTTAAGAAAAGGATGACACCCCATCCCTGAGGGCCCCTCACCACCGATCGGACGGCACGATGGGAGGATGTAAATTGGACTATAATCACAATCTGACAGATAGAGAGTGGGGCTCTGTCCCCGGTACTTGCAGAGGCCTTATGCATTTTTCAGCATAGTAACCCCTCATCGCAGTTGCCGGGATTCGAACCCGAGACCTAACCCTTGTGGCACTCCCTTGCTACCAGTTGAGCTACGTCCACCGGTATACGGAAGGGTTTAAGAGTTGTTACTGAAGGGAATTTGTAATTGTGATATATACGTATATATTTCCTTCTAGGGATTAGGTTAAAATGCTTATTTGGGCTAAGAGAACTGATTTGGGTCTAAATCTTCTTTAAAAAAAATTGCTTGTCTCAACCGATAATAATCTCCTTTTCAATAATATACTGATAAAATCTAAAATACCATTTATTTATTCACTTTATGTGTTAGAGCTTACCGTCAACGTTATCTGCCACAAACAAAACACGATAAAACAATAAATCACATTAATAAAAAAGAGACTTATATAACTGACTGAAATATAAAAATAACGTAAGTAACTAGCTCATAAAATCGGGGTGTTACACTAATACACGTCTATATTTGGGGAATATGTCTGTTACAACAATATTACATGTTCTTCTACACACATGGACAAAATCTGGAATTGAGACTTGCACACATCATCTTCAATATGTGTTAACCTCACTTTTTGTTTGATTGTCTCATTTTTCAAGTGATAATTTCTATTAAATTCACATATCCAAGTATCCAACAAAACATACATATTTTAGTCATATTCTTTTTTTTTGGATGTTACATTGTTTCACCATCCAAAATTCTACACCATAAAATAATCTAAGCTTACTCTTTGTTCGATAAACTCACACTTTACTCTGGTCGCCATACATAGACCACATACAAATACTAACGCACTTCCATTTTATGGGTGGATACAATCTAAGCTAATCTCATTGTTATGAAGGCTAATCTCATTGTTATGAAGTGTTATCTAATTTATTGTGTGAAATATCTTTCTTAGTTAAATATGCTTAAAATAAGAATTTCAACAAAATCTTACAAAATCGCGAAACATTGATTTACAAAATCTTATAATATTTGTCAGTACTTTGTTTTGGAAATGATGTTCATATATAAATAACTCAGAAGTATGTATTATTTCTTGCGTCCCCATATTTTTATCTCATTTTTTCTTTTCACCTCTGTCTCACTAATCCTATCTTATAGGGAGTATCATATTTAATAAAGTTTGAATGTTTATCTTTCATTCTTATTTTATTTAGACTTACTAAATTAATAGGGAGTACTATCTATGACCTACACAATTTTATTTTTCCTAATAAACACTCCACTTTTTGTGTCCCGATATTAGGGAACGAAGGTAATATTAAATTAGAAAACATAACAAATACTCTCTCCGGTTCTTAATTATGTTCTTAGTTTGACTTCACACATATTAAGAAATAAATTTAACTTTACTGTGGAGTGCACTGTTTGAACACTGTTTGACATTGTTTAAACACTGTTTGACACTGTTTTGGTGTAAATCATTTGCCAAATAAAGAAAGGTTTGAAGTAGGAACTTTAATATGGATCATCCTAAAAGGGAAAGTATGAACTTAATTACGGGACAGAGGGAGTACGAAGAAAAAAACCTCGCACGAGTTGCACATGCTCAAATACGCACTCAAGTTATCTATTGTAGTGATCGAGAATGTCCCTTGAACCACTCAACCAAAATTGAATTTTACTACTACGTAATATATAGATAGTATATCTTCCCAATTAAAAGTAAGTGAGATTTAGAATAGTGAAAGGAAGTATAATTATTGAGGGTATGATGTGAAAATAATGAAATTGTGTGCTGGAATGAAGAATAAATCCAAAAAATAGTTGTAATAGTGTATTATTTTCAAAATTATTGAAGGTATGATAAGAAGATTTAGAAATGAAAAAATTGCTCAAAATGAGACTAAAACATGGTTAAAACTCCAAAATAAGACTTTAAGTTTTAAATTGCTTAAATAGGACCCCAGATTACACTTTTGCCCTTTCTTTTATCAAGCTCAATTACTCGCTCTGTATTACGATTTCTTCCGCCCCAGGCCCCCCATCTCTTCCGATCTCTTCCGCCTTAGGCCCCCCAACTCTTTTGATTTCCCCTATTGACGGCATCGATAGCAACTCTCCAGATCGAAGCTTCCCATCTCCAAATCGAAGTCGCTGCAGACTACTCCAACAATTGCAGGTATCCACCTCTGCTCTTCTTCTTTTACTTTGTTCTTCTTTCTCTTCTTGTTCTTCTTCTTCTAATCCTCTTCAAAAATATGGTCCTATGTTTTCTTCTTTGATTTTTTGTGGATTTGAATTTTATATATTAATTTGGGATTTTTGGATTTAAATTATATTCATTCAGCAAAATGCCACTTTTATAATTTGAGTGTCAAAATTATTGGTTCTTTGAATAAACTGCCATGTTTGTGGCAATATATTTATCAAAATGACAATCTGAAAAATGTCATATGTCCATAAGAAAATGTCATTCTTATGGCATTTTGTGGCATTTTTATGACATATCTCAGAATGACATAACTACTTGTTATTAGGAATGACATGTGTTTTGACATGTATTCAAAATGATGCCAGAACTATCATCCTTAAATTGTCACTATTTTTCATCTAAAAATTCACATTTTTTACAAATGAGAATGTCATGTTTTTATATGAAACTTCCATCACCATGCCATTTTCGGAAATAGTATCTCTATAAATGACAACATTTGGCAATCTAGTAAAAAAAATGTCATTAAAATATTGAGCTCTTGATATAATATAATGGCATAAAGTGACATTTTTCTAATAACAAGTATTTTTCATAAACAAATCTAATCAAAACCAAAAAAGTAATAAAAACCCAAATCCAAATATTTGCGGTCATGATCGGTCGTTGAATTGTCATTTCTATCTCAAGTTTTCATATCCAAAATAGTATTTTGATTTATAATCTGAAATTGTAAATGAATTAAGAATAATCAAAAATTGAAAAGTGAAGAAACAAGGAACTGGAAGAAGAAGATGATGAGATGAAGAAGAGGAAGAAGATCGAAGAAGATGAAGAAGAAAGAGGAAGAAATTAAAGGAGAAGGAAGAAGAACGTAAAGAGGAAGAAGAGGCTACCTGGTGCGCTGCTATGGATTCTCCACCGGACCAGATGTGCGGCAATGTAATTGCCGATGCTATTCTGCCGCTTATCGATGATCATTAAGGGTGTTTTTGTCCAGTTAGGTAATTTGTAGTCCTAGTTTTGCAATTTAAACATAGGAGTCCTAATTTTGCATTTGTTCCATGTTTTAGTCCTATTAGGGGAATTCTCTCAAGATATAAATATTACGATAAAAAAGAAAGTGGAAAGATATGAAAGTTGAAAGTTACGGAAGGAGTACATATAGGGGGTGTTTGGAACTGATTCTGCTTCTGCTTCTTTTTTAAAGCAGAAGCAGAATCAGTTTTCAGAAGCTTGTACCCCTCAGCTTCTAAAAAAACTGATTCTGAGAGTAAATTAGAGCACCAGAAGTGCTTCTGGAATTTCACCCAAACGCTCCAGCTTCTGCTTTTGCTCCCTGAAGGAGCAGAATCAGTTTTGAGAATGAGATCCAAACGCCCCCATAATTGTTGTAATCATTACCTTCATTATCTGGCTGATATAAGTACTACTTCTATCTTATTCATGAATCATAGTGGACTTCTTATTCCCAAAGTTCAGAACTACTAATAAACCTTCTGAAAAACTACAAATAACAAGAGCGGTTTCCAATTTTTGTTTGATAACGGTTTTAAAAGTCAACACAATCCTTCTGTCTCATTTTGTTTGTCCCCTTTCAGTTTTTCCTGTCTTAGTTCATACTTTCGCAAATTAAACATGGAAATCTCATTTTTGTGTAGCATTCGTACCGAATTCCATGTTTCAAACTGAAATGGGTAGGTGGTAGTGCAATGTGATTAGTATGTGGAACGTTTTGGTTGATTATAGAAGGTAATTTATACGTAGTACGGAGTGTAACTCTAAAAATCATAAAATTAAAAATTGACCACAACACCAACGAGGACAAAACTATTTCCCTAAAGTAGTTACTCCGATATTTTTTTTTTAATTAGGCATATGCTTGATGCTTCTGACTACTTTTTGCAGCCAGGATGATAGGGTTTTATGCCTAAATCATAAATCTATTCAACCCCCATAGAATCTAATAACTTGTACTCTAAGTCTCTAACATTGGTGGCTTGGTCTGAATGTCTGATCAAGGCTCTAAACTAGGCAACCACACTCAGGGCTTGTTTAGTAAGCCCAGATAACTCCTCGTGTAGGTTATTTGGGTTAGTCTTATAGGGTGGGCCTAGGCATGGACCTAGGTTAGTCCGGTCCCGGTTCTGGACCCAGGTCCTTTAATTCTTTTGCCCGATTCAGAGTAGGGTTTAGATCTGTTCAAAATACAAAAACAGATGGGCCCGGTTCCAACCATTCCAAGGCTAAAACAAAAAATATGGCCTACCGGGACCGAACCGCCCAGTTTAGTCCCAAAAATAGAATCCAAGACCGGGTGCCCTCTCCACCCAGTAAGGTACCTGGTGTTCGTCCAGAACCGGAAAAACGGACACAGTCCGGTCCCAGACAATATCAGACCCGGTTCCGGACCCGTTCCATGCCTAGGCAGGCGTATGAGGTTTTAGGCTAAACTTTTCTCATCCAATACATTCTAGTTTCATGGACTACCAGTCTACCAGATATGGAGGTATGGAACAAAACTGTCACAGTATATCCAGTGCGGTCCATTATAATCCAATGAAGTTCAGCCCATGTGCCAGCCTAACAAGTCCTCAAAGACTCAAATTGAATTAGAATATGCATCGCTAGTGATTTCTGCATTACATTAAAGTTACAGGTCTGGTCAACGCTTCAAAAGTGAGGGACTAGCTCAAGCTTGCGCGATTGAAAGAACTTGCAACGTCCTTTACCACTTGATTCAATGTCTTCGCTCTTCCTCTTCGCATCACTGCTGAAACCAATGTTAGTAAGCTTAAGCTGCCTCTTGCCAGATTTTCCACTGCTTTCGTCTTCCTCATTTATATCAGATTCCCTATTAAAACCCCACAAAATAGTTATTCAATGAAAGCAAATGGTGTTTGGTTTCAATGATAGAAAAAATTTCTTTGTTAAGAATACTCATAAAATAATAAAGGGGTTAGGACACCAATATTACTAATTACTAAATATTAACTAATGGACAAAAAAGTGACCTTTTTAAAAAATTTCAAGAAATGTGACTAAAAAGGGCTGAACATACAATTTTCGCTTACTAAGCCCAGCAGACCCGCTACAGTGACTAATGTGTTACAGTGGCCTAATTGACCAATGCATTACAGTGACCAATGTCACAGTGACTATATTCCCAGATGACACCGTGACTATATACCCCGGTTACCAATGCCACAGTTACCAACACTTGGTGACCAAGCTCCAGTGACATCCCAACTACAGTGACACCAGGCCCCAGACCACCCTGATCTCAGTGACCACCATTACTGACATCCCGCCAATGACCACGGCCACCTCGCCTATGCCCTTAGTGCTCAACCAACCCTGCCACTGCCCCAGCAGTCCAATCCAGTCCCGCCCCCTACCCAACCAACCCCACCCCCTGCCCCACCATAATGACCTGCCGGCTAGTGACCACCGCCTGTCACTGTAGCCAATGGCAGCCTGTGACCTATTTTAAATCCGGTATGCAACTGCCTTTATTATGACCACAACCATGACCGCCGATGAAACGAATGCCGCCCCTGGCGGGGGCAGGCGGTGCACTGCCAGTAGCCATCCACAACCTGGCCCCCAGGTCCTCCGCAGTCTTGCAACCCCCAACCACCGCCTCTCCTGCCCCTGCACCACACCCCAGCTCCGCCCCCTGCCCCATCAGTCCACCCCACCCCCATTCCCCTGTCCCACCAGCCCACCCTAGGCACTCTCATTCACAGTAGACTCCGCTCACCCAGCCTACCCCAGCCCCCATCCTCACAGACCCCAGACACCATCCCCCAGCCTCAACCTCAGACCCCAGATCGGGCCCTCAACGCCCAGCTCATTCTAGATGTCCCACCAGCCCACAGCTTCCAACCCTATGCCCCAACCGCACCCCAGGCCCTAGCCGCGAATTCACCGCTGACAATCTACTCAATGTCGTTGCTCGTTGCTCGTCTCTTGCCGCACCGTCGCTTGCTCGCCCCGTCGTCTCACGCCGCACTGTCACTCTTCGTCGCTCGCCTCTTCGTCTTCAGATCCGAAGATTCCGACCGTCCATCAACACCAAGAGACCAAGAAGAGGAGAAAGAAGAAATAGAAGAAAGGTGAGGCTGTGGAAGTTGGCGACAGCGTCGATGTGGCGGAGGCAGAGCTCGAACTCGGTGGCATGATCAGCGTAGATGGAGCTTGGCCAAATCGGTGGCTTGATCGGCGTAGATGGAGATCGGGCAGAGAGACAGAAAATGTGCGAGAATGGGGAATTGAGGATACGGAAGAGAGGGTGAAGGGCTGGGGTAATTTTGGATTTTCAGTTGAAATAACTCTCTTTTTTGTCCAAATTCAAATGTGGTCCTATTTTTATCTTTACAAAACCCTAGAGTCATATTTAGGGTTCTTTCAATAATAAAACTTGTAATTTTCAGTCAAATGCATTAGTTGAAAACGTTGGTCAAAATCAACTTGATAATGCGGCCGTTTTTGTGGGATACTGAGACCCAAGGTGTATAATATTTGTTCAGTTGATAATATATTAACCCCCAACCAAACACTGGTTTGGGATACTCCTCCTTAACTTAACCTAAACTAATAGGAAAGAATATGTCTTACTACACAAAAGGCATAACTTAATATAGATTGATAACAAAGGACCCATATGATGGCTCACCATAAGACCTCAGCAATGTGTTTGGAGTATGAATTACAAGTTCCCCAGCTGAAGCGCACTAGTGTTGGAAAACCAAACACTACATGTTTGTGATGATCTAGCCAAGTCTTAGTCTCCGGATCTATAACCAGAATACCCATTAACTTGAACTAGTATTGTAATCTGCTTCCTTCCTTTAATCAAATGAAGCCATAATAACTCACCTCCGGGGTATCCCGATCCAAAGCTCCTATGCATATTATCGGCACTCTCATCAAACACCCAGTCTCGCAAAGCTCTATCCCTGGTAACCTGCAAGAAATATTTAGAGAAAATGGCATCAATAGCTATTTGCCTAGGTGATCATAATACTACATCCGTCTCATTCAAAGGTTCTCGTCCACTGTTCTCTTGTGTAAACTCTTCTTAATCTTTTACTTTATATATTCAACTTTTATCAAATTTGAGTTTTTATTTTGCGACTAAAAAAAATAAAATCTAATTAACTTTTATGTAAATTAGATAACTTTATGTAAATTTTATTTACTAAAAAAATCTAATTACGAACAGGTATCAGTTAACTTTATGGTCAATCAAACATCGTAAATCGCGTGAGAACCTTTCTATGGGACGAAGGGACTGAGGGAGTAATAATATAGTGGATTGAAGGAAGGTTTGTGGAAAAAACAGACCTTTGCAGCTATACTTGCTCCACTTACAACAGGGTAAAGACTATCAGCCTTTTTAGCAACCACAAATTTGATACCTGGAAACCTTTCAGAAAGTTTGAGTCTGTATTTGTCAGCATCACCAACTGTGTCCACATACACCTGAAACTTTCCATCTATCAGTTGATTTGATCCCCAAAGAAAAGCAAATTGTACTTTACTTGTCCCAAAATAGTCAAACTTTTGGAAAAGTGTGAAGATATTAAGGATCCATACAAGACGACCGTTCTATCCTTATGTATGTCAAATGCTTTTTTATTCTTCTCGGGGTACAAACTTATACTAGTAGGACAAGTTAATATGCGCGAATTTGGAAGATTAGTAAAAAGAATCATTGAAGTCCTTAAACTAAAACTATTTTAGGACAACTTTTTGGCTATAGTGATGGATGATTTGGGTAGGCAGAGTAATATTAAATGGAAAAAGATTAAAAATAAATAAGTGAAAATTTTATGTGACAAAGGGAGTATAGCTTTGTTCTGAAAGATAATATGTCATTAACACCATTTGGCTTTCACTAGAAAGTTCAGAATTGAAATTCCAATCTAAGCATTTAAAATAGATGTAAAAAGATAAGGATACGCAAGTGAAATGATGATTTACGACTTTGTGTAGAAAACATTAAAATATACTGGGTACATATGAAGGAGAAGCAGAAAGGAGAACCTTTCTGTGTAAGTGAACTACACAATTGGTTGTACTTCAGAAGTCAACAAATGTTTCAATATGTATGCTCATTCTACCAAATGTTTCAATATTTACTTTACCTCTGTTAACAAAACACCCATGTCCAACACCCTCCTCACTAGGCCACTGGCAGAATCATGTGATATCTCATTAAGGTTGATTTTATTCCTGTTGACAGTTGCAGGAGCCAGGGGTGAAATAGTATCGTAAATTAAATTTCACTGAATATACAAAGTGGCAAGAGATAGACCTTACTTCTTCAACATTTTGGCAGATAGCTCCCTAGGATCAATGACATCAACAGCCCACCCTATTGAACCATTAGTCTTCATTTCCTCAAATAACTCTTCCCTCCTCTCTTCTTTTAAAGTTTTAGAGTCTAGGTCAAGAAATGAGCAAATGTTTTAGAATTCAGATAAAGGGGTTAATTAGTCCTGATACAAAATATGTTGAGAGCACATTTCCTTTAGCAATGAAGTGATGTGCAAACTGTAGAGCTTATAAGTGCAAAAAAAAACAGCAAAAGATTGGGAAAAAGAATTACTCCATCCGTCCCAACAAAAAGGTCATCTTTCAAGATGTTTTTGGGGAAAAATAAAAGAAATTTGGTTTTTAAGAGCCAATTACTCCAAACAGTCTTGGGAAAAAAATAGGTGTGCCAGTAACCATTCATAAGCCGTAAAAGATTGCACCTTGATTGAGTTGATCAAAAAAATTGTGCCGAACTAAACCTCTTTTTATTTTCGCTCTTTTTGGGGGAAGGGGGTAGAGTACCATATGAAAGTGGTAATACAATTTGGAAGTGAACTTGCTAACCACAATACAGTAGGAAGAAAGGAAGAAGTTATCTATCATATTACTCCCATACATCCATGGTTGCAACTTTTCCTGTTATTGAAACCAAAATTCTACACCCCTTTTCTGGAAGATTGACACTCCTTCTTTAAAACGGTCTGAAACTTGCTTTTCCTTTTTAGTATCTGTAGAAAGGCCTACCTGGACTAAGAATTCCATATTATTCTAAAACCATTAGAGACCAAAGGTTCTCTACACTATGATTCTTTGGCAGTTACTCTCCAAAATGTCACCCAGAAATATGATAACGAAGGTAGAAAAGTGGGCCAGCTCAAATCATATACCCATTACAATCAAATATCTATCAAAGTTGGCTGTTAAAGAGAAAAAGGTTATAAAAGACTCTAGATTTGAATCGAGTAATTAACCTGCAAATTTTAAAGTGGAAAGAGTCTTTAGGTATGAGACCGCGCAATATAAGCATCCATACACCATCGGTCCTGCGAAATGGATGCGACAATCTGAGGACCTAAACAGGCGGTAATAGAAGGATGGGAGGAGATGGCTGCTTTTGGATACCTAAAACGGGACCCCGCCCCGCTTCGTCAATACCCATGATGCAAGGCTTCATTGCCCATTGCGGCAGCACTCCGCCTCCAGATCCCATACCGGCTTCCTTCTGCAACCTCTCTCTCTCTCTCTGGACTGCTGGCTGAGCGACTGACTACAGTTCCCGCCCCAAGTTGTATCTCCCTGTTTTGTTCCCGCTCCTAACCTCGTATTACTAGTAAAAATGGGCAACTAGAAGCCATCGAGGGCAATTTTTTTAGGGGAAATATTATAGTACCCGTGCATACGCACACGCACGGATACTACAATAACAATTTTCGAACTACTTGAGTTCAATCATATCCGTGGATACGCATGGGGCAGATCCAAGAATGAGGGGTGAGGTGGGCTAAGCAATTACAATTTTCGTTACTGCATACAAAAGGTTTAGCTTAGGACTGATAGTCATTGAACTGATTTTTTTTTAACTACTTGAGTTCAATCATGATTTCGAATTTAATTTAATGACCAAATCTTAACGAGCTTCAATCTCGAACACGGGCTAAATTTTAGTTTAAATAGTTTGTTTTTACAAAAAAGCGGCCGTTATTTTTTTGAGTTTGAATAGTTATTCATGCTGAATTCGAGCATAGTCATGTTCAGTTCGATCTGGACTCGAGCATATTGATAACTTATAAAATATAGAAATAAACTATATACTACCTCCGCCCACTTTTATTAAGACTAATTTGATTTTTCAAGTCAAAGAAGTTAAACTTTGAATGACTATATATTTATACAATAAAATTGATAATATGAAAATGAAATGGAAATGTTCTTTGTTAAAAAGTTTGTCATAAAAGTATAAATTTAGTAAGTTTCACATTAATACATGAGTTAAAATGATGGATCAAAGTTTACCATCTTTGATTAAAGAGTCAAAGATGGCTAAATAAAACGAGACGGATGTAGTATATCTAAAATTTAAACGTTTTTAGTGTGATTTATAATTTTATTATTGATTATTAAAGATTTTAGTATTTATTGATATGACACTACAAAAAAACACGGGATTGATAGGGATTTTGGCACGGATTTGGCACAGATTTTAGCAGGGATACACCAAATCCGTGCCAAAAACACTTTGGCACGAGCTATTTGGCACGAAACATTGATAAGTCCGTGCCAAATTCCGTGCCAATCCCGCCTTTTTCTGTAGTATGAATTAAAATACTTCTATAAAAGTATAAAACTAATAAGTAAAAATAGTCGATGTACATAAAACTAATAAGTATTCCCAATTTTAAAATTGAATTGAGATTTTGAATCCATTCTTACATGCCTAAACAGTAAGTACATCGTTCTCTATTCTTTGATTGCATAATAAATAAATCCTTTTCTAATCTTTAATTTTATCTTTAATCATTATAAATTTATAATAAAATAAAAACTATTTTACTATCTACTGAAAATATTCAATTAATAATCAAATAGAATTACAAAGTTGATAGGCTTGAGCTGGGCTAGACAATAATTTTCAGGTGGGCTGGAAATTAAACCTATACCTATAATAATAAAAATAAATTGGGCTGGGATGGGCTGGAGCTCACCTCTGCCCCAACATAGATCCGCCCGAAACGGCTGTTGTTGCATATATTTTTACTCATATTCAATTAAATATTAAAATAAAAATAACTTTTTAAGATTCTACATTTTCGAAAAATAAGAGTACAATAAGCTAATATCATAAAGTATAGGCCAAACATATGAGAGAAAATTCTTATCCAGCTCAATTGTTAGGAAGCTAAAAGCACTACATATGAGAGAGAAAATTATCCCGCTCAATTTCACTGCTCAAGTGTTAGCAAGCTTATGTTCTAAATAGCTAAAAACACTACGTATGATCGATAATTTCTCTCGCTCAATGATTAGCAAGTTTATATTCTTATACTTAAAACCACTACATATGAGAGAAAATTCTCCCGCTCAATTTTTAGTAGGCCTATCTTCTTATCTTCTTATACCTAAAAGCATTATAGATGAGAGAGAAAATTATTCATAAATATTTATAAATATGGTGATGGGGTGGCAGAGGCGGCGACATTTTCTCTTTTTACATTTTTAATTTTTTAATTAATTTTTTATATTTTTTTAATTTTTTTTATTCATAAATATTTATAAATTTTCTAATAATTTTTGACGTTTTTTTTTATTTTTTTTACGTTTTTTATTATTTTTTTATGATTTTATTATTAAGTAAGACATTTCATAAGCTTCAAGGGTACATTTGTCCAAATATACATAAATAGTCCTACTAGGAGGAATAAATAACATGTAGTCCTATTTGTTCTCTTGGGTCACTTTTTTGACCTATTTAAGGAATTAACTCTTATTTAAAGAGTAAAGTAGCAGGGGGTAGTGAATTGTGTAAAAAAGTAGAAGAGTGTGTAAAAGAGTGAAAGAGAAGATAAAAAGTAGATAAAATAAGGGTAGTTGAATATTTGTATTAATAAGGTATTTGAATTTGTGCTTTTGCATTCTATTAATTCAAGAAAAATTACATACCTATTAGTGACTATAATTGTGTTCAAGCTCATATCATAGTAACTAAGTGTAAGTTACTACAATGTAAACTTTGAATGCAGTTACTGTCACAATGTTTTCTTTTGGACTGTTTCCAGTCCCAGACCATATTAGACCAGACCGACTTCGGTAGTTATAAAATACAAAGGGACGAAACATTTATTAGACCAAACCAGTTCAGACCATATCAGGCCAGTCTAAACCAGGCTAGACCAGCACATTTCAGTCTAAAAGAAAACATGCTTACTAAATAATATTTTTGTCCATGACTTTCGTATTAGTAATATTTAAGGAAAAATCATTTAATTAAATAATTATTTCGAACATATGTTTTTAGCCATGGTCAATTAATCCATGTTTTGTCCTTTGTTACAGATCTGCTCATTTGAAAGTTCATATATATATAAATGATGTGATAAAAATGATAGCCATATTAATGATAAATATCATATACTTCCTCCGCATTTTTTTATTTGCTGCACTTTTCTTTTTTGGTTGTATTCAAAAATTTGCTGCACTAAGCCCTTTATGGTAAGTTTTTTTCTGTAAAATACTCAACTAACCTTATTTTTTCTACTTTTTATCTTATCTTTCATACTTTTCCACCATTTCTCCTGTCTTTTCTACACTATTCATTACCTCTACTATTTCCCTCTTAAAAAATGTGCCAACACCTATTGTAGCAAACAAAAAATACGGAGGCAGTATTTAGGACTCAAAATTTGTATGAAATTTATTTGTTGTCTATGATATGTATTTTCACATACATATTTATTCTTCCCATCATTATTACATCATTATTTTAATATTTATATTTTCTAAAATAACAATATGTTATGATAATTATTACCCCTGTGACCCGTGCATCGCACGGGTACTATACTAGTTACTAGTAAAAATGGGCAACTAGAAGCCATGGAGGGCAATTTTTTTTTAGGGGAACTAGTATAGTACCCGTGCATACGCACGGGAAACGGCTGTTGTTGCATATATTTTTACTCATATTCAATTAAATATTAAAATAAAAATAACTTTTTAAGATTCTGCATTTTCGAAAAATAAGAGTACAATAAGCTAATATCATAAAGTATAGGCCAAACATATGAGAAAAAATTCTTATCCCGCTCAATTGTTAGGAAGCTTACCCTCTATATATGAGAGAAAAAATGATCTAATACCTAAAAGCACTACATATGAGAGAGAAAATTATCCCGCTCAATTTCACTGCTCAAGTGTTAGCAAGCTTATGTTCTAAATAGCTAAAAACACTACGTATGATCGATAATTTCTCTCGCTCAATGATTAACAAGTATATATTCTTATACCTAAAACCACTACATATGAGAGAAAAATTCTCCCGCTCAATTTTTAGTAGGCCTATCTTCTTATCTTCTTATACCTAAAAGCATTATAGATGAGAGAGAAAATTATTCAGCTCAATTGTTAGTCGGCTTATCTTATACTTAAAAGAACTACATATATGAGAGAAAGTTTTTCCCACTCAATTGTGATCAAGATTATCGTCTAATGCCTAAAAGTACTATGTATGAAAGGCAAAATTTTTCTGTTCTAATGTTAGTCGGATTATCTTATACCTTAAAGTGCATCACTACATATGAAAGAGAAAATTATCCCACTCAATTGTTAGCCGGCTTATTTTAGTCTATACTTCAAAAAACTATACTACATATGAGAGACAAAATTATCACGCTCAATTGTTGGATATCGTATCTTCTAATATCCAATAGCCCTACAAATGAGAGATCAAGTTTTCCCGCTCCATTTCCCTTCCCACAACGTTAGCAAGCTTATCTTCTATAATACCTAAAAGCACTACATACGACAAAGACATTTCTTCCACCCAATCAATTATTAGCCTGTTTATATTCTTATACCTAAAACCACTACTTATGAGAGAGAAAATTCTCACGCTCAATTGTTAGCCGACTTATCTTCTTATACCTAAGAGCACTACATGTGTGAGAGATCATTATTTCGCTCAATTGTTAGCCGACTTATCTTATACTAAAAGAACTACATATGAGAGAGAAAATTTGTGTAGCAAGCTTATGTCTCATAATGTCTAAAATCACTACATATGAGAGGGAAAATTCTCTTCTCAATTGTTAGTTGACTTATCGTATTCCTTAAAGCACCACGTATGAGAGAAATGATTCTATCGCTTAATTGTTAGCTGGCTTATTTTATCTTATACTTAAAAGAACAACACATATGAGAGAAAGTTCTTCCGCTCAATTGTTAGCAAGATCTACTAATATCTCAGCACTACATAGAAAGTCAGTTGTCATCGCTTCAAATGTTTTTGCTTCAACTACATCCACGTGATCTATAGGATCGCAATTTAAATATTCTATTTCTTCGCCTACAACTATAAAATGTGAATGTGACAAACAATTTTCTCAAACAATTTTCTGATCCTTAGTCCTTCACTTCTTTCAAAGCTTCAATATTTTATTTTTCATCCGTAAGCAACCGGCCCGTTGCAAAACACACTACTTCTCTACAACATGAATTAGAATGTAGGTAATTGTCCCAATAACTTCAATACAACATAGTCCTTTTGTCATGGTGCTCATTCTTAAATAGAACAATTCACATGTAGTTGGAGGTACCCGGACGATCCTAACAATAGTGAAAACCTC